CGACTAGCAGCTCTGGTTTATTTAAAACCGCCATGTCTGCTGTACACAGCAAGTACGGCTCGAGTTCACTGCCTTGGGGGACTCCACGTCTGATGGAACATAAATCAGATTCATCCTTATCTACTCCCACATAAAATAATCTACACTCAAAATAGGCTAAATTTATAGAACGGAGCTGACAGAAAGTTAGCAACGCCCTGTTGGTGCCCCAACTACAGCTCACAGGTAAGTGGGCAAACCGCCTGTACCTACGTAGGCCTCAGATAGAGCTTTTCGGAGCAGCGGATTTCAACGCCGAGAACCCTTGCGGGGTTCACGGCTCACAAACTCTTAAGGTCTAACGATCTACTTGACTGTATACAGAGACTCAATATATCCAGTTAATTCACATGCCAACCGACCTACTGACACACGAATCCCACCAATATTTCTGACCCGCTGGACTTTGCAATCTCACGCTGCATTAATCCATATAAGGCCGTGACCAGGAGCTGTTTGGTCCTCTGCTCTGGCCATAGTGCTGTTAAACATTCTTGCTAAACATTGCCAAAACGCTGTTGCGGGGTCAGTCACGCAAATAAAGAAAACCACCAATATTGGTCTATACCTAACCTGCTGGAGCAACGCATGGACAATGCTCCTCTTAACTGTGTTATTATAAAAAATGCCTATATTCCAAAATTGCATCGAAATTAGAGCACTGCCATAGGAATGATTGGCACAAAAAAATCATTTAGTACCAAGAACTCTTTTAGGTACCCGGTACAGATTGATGTCACGGCTATAGATTCAGGTGTACTTACATTCTTGCGTACGAGTACATACAAGGAGTTTTCCAAAATAAACAGGACATTAAAAAAAACCAGAACAAATGGGTTTTTCGGCAAAATCAATTTATTTTATTCAAAATAGTCTCCTTCTGCTTCAATACAGCTTTTTGCACGATCCAAAAGCATGTCGAACGAGTGTTTTAGCTCGTTGGCCGGTATGGCCGCCAGTATGCCGGTGCAAGCATTTTGAATGGCCTCTACGTCTGCATAACGCTTTCCTTTCATGTGCAAATGCATTTTCCGAAAAGGTAGAAGTCGCACGATGCCATATCAGGGGAATACAGCGAGTGGTTAATGGTTAAAATGTGATTTTTGGTCAAATAATCGGTCACCAGCGTCGATCGAAAAAGTGCTGTTTACTTTCGAGCACACCTTGTATTTGTACATAGTGTGCTTAGATATCAACAGCTTTTCATTTCATTATAAAAGTTATAGTTTATTGTATTATGTAACATACATTCTTTATAAAATAAACTGTATGACTAACACTTGTATTTTAATGAATAACAAATGAGATTTTTAACCTCATGTACGGTTTTAATGGAAATTAAACTAGATATGCATACATATGACAGCTGAGCCACACGCAAAAAGCTGAAACCAAAAGTAGGCAGCTACATGCACATATATACGTACACTCCTGGACAGAATAAAACGTGTGAGCATACTGTTTTTTCCAAAAAAGCGTGACTTTCATTTATGTATATTATAGTATTTCCCAAAGAATAAGTTAGTTTTAACATACAGGTGTGCCACAGAAAACTCCGGCAGTTTCGCCTACAGTTGTTTTTGAAAACTCCAAAAAAATACGTCAGTTCCACAGAACTTCGAAAGATTTCATATTTTCGAACTTCTCCTGTCAGCAACAGCTGACTGTCGACGCTCACATTTGACTGACTACTTCTGTAAAAATCCTGTATCACATTCAGTTGCCAGCAACAGCTGACTGGCTACGAGTACATTTGACCGACTAATTGTGTTTAAATTCTGTAACGTACTATGTTAAATAGAAAACAAATATGCCATTTGCAGTAATATTAGCCCGCAAGCATTACGACGCAAATATTTAAGAAGCGCATTTATTAAATTTATTTTACATTTTTCATTACATCATTTCGTTTTTTTCGCAATTACTTCCATAAATTCGACGAAAATTGCGTCCTGTTGTGGCGATGTTTTTGCAAAAATTAGCATTTCAAATTGAATTCAGAAATTACAAAAATGTACATATTATATTGATATGGCAGTTTCTGACCATTCACATTTTCGCTAACAAACAGACTTGCCCAATCGACAATTTTCGCCAAGTTTGTTTAATTAATACACAGTTATGTAGTACATATTTGAAACAAGAATTGCGTGAATTATATATTTTATTTTTAACCTTCGTTTGACTCAAAACTTTAGACTTAATTCATGAAATTGTGATGTTCTGTTTGGGCCAATGGGGCATCTCTATTGTGCGGCTGATTTATATGCTGTGTGTGAATGATGGTGTTTTAAGTATTTAGTTGGTAATTTGCTAATTAAATAATATTTACGTAGGATATGCAAAATATTTTTGATGCAGATTGTTTAGGAAAACTACAAGTTTTATATTCCAATGATTATTTTTAAATGGAATAATGTCTTTGTTAGTGTTTTTAATCAAAACTCCTGGCAAAGCAAACAAGATTTGAAACATCCCAAAAGCGTGGCACCGAGAATTGGTTTTGAGGAGGAACTTGAGCGGAAGAGATTTCTGTGGCATCCCTGATGAGCATACTTCATCGGATAAACAAATAATATAATTATTCTGTCCACTAGTATACATACATTTGGAAATATGTATACATGTAACATACGTAAATAGAAATAGGTAAATATGTATACCATTGTACGGCGATATCATAATACGGGCCCGAACCACAATTAATTCGTACGGCAGCTAGTGCAAATTTCAATGACATATTTGTACTTTCTAAAAGGGTAATTTAATTACCTTTAATTTAATATCAAAGCATGACCACGTTTCACATTAAAAAAATGCAAGAAGTTATTTGAAATAAGACAACTTTCCTAATACCCGAAATATTTTTAACCATTATTATTAATTGATACTTACTAATTAAAACTGAGTAACATAATTTTTTTAGTTAATAACAGCTTTAATTCTCTTTTTCGTCAAAATGATTAGTTATGTTAAGCAGGAGCCGAAATCATACTTTATAGAAGCTATATTACATTATTTGCATTATTCGCGTCTATTCACGTGCTACTGTTTTTTTTAATATTTTCAGACCGTTTTGCCGTTTATATCTCAAAGTACCTCGCCGATTTTGCTTTATTTTAGTCGACAAACATCTTTTGTCACGTAATATTGTGCATATTGCCATTCTTTTAATAGCTTTGCAATATATTTTGTACCGTAGGAATGCATACGATTTGTATACTATGTACATAAAATGTACCAGAGTACAACTATATTAGGTTTGCGGGAGCTGAAAATGTAACAGGCAGAAGGAGGCGTGACAGACCCCACAAAGTATATATATTTTTGATCAGCATGACGAGACGAGTCGATCTAGCCCTGTCTGTCTGTCTGTCCGTCCGTCCGTCTGTCCGTATGAACACCTAGATCTCAGAGACTATTAGAGGTAGAGACACCAAACTTTGCACAAAGATCTGTCTGTCTGTCTATCCGTCCGTCCGTCTGTCCGTATGAACACCTAGATCTCAGAGACTATAAGAGGTAGAGACACCAAACTTTGCACAAAGATCTGTCTGTCTGTCCGTCCGTCTGTCCGTATGAACACCTAGATCTCAGAGACTATTAGAGGTAGAGACACCAAACTTTGCACAAAGATCTGTCTGTCTGTCTATCCGTCCGTCCGTCTGTCCGTATGAACACCTAGATCTCAGAGACTATAAGAGGTAGAGACACCAAACTTTGCACAAAGATCTGTCTGTCTGTCCGTCCGTCTGTCCGTATGAACACCTAGATCTCAGAGACTATAAGAGGTAGAGAGTCCAAACTTTGCACAAAGATGCGTTATGTGTGTACGCTGTGCAAGTTTGTTTTATTTTTTTTTTATTTTCCTCCCCCACTTCCCCCCTATGGGGGTTTTCCCTATTTTCGTATAATCGCCTATATCTCGGAGACTATAAGACCTAGGGACACCAAGATGACTAATGTTAATACGCAGAAAATGTGTATTTTGGAATTCCCCTCCCTCCGCCCTCTCCACCGCAAATCGTAACTACCGTAATTCCTGGAATTTCTCAAACTTAAATTTTGCAGTTAGTGATTATGTGTCCGTATGCCAAGTTTCACTATGATAGACCGATTTAACAAGAAGTTATTGATTGACTGCAAACATGTTTACACGAATAGACGCGCATAGACATTCGTACACTCACATAGACGCAATTGCTTTGTATATGTGCAATTATACACCCTTTTTTCTTAATTTTTTTAATTTCTATATTTATGCTAAGCATATGTACAAAGTATTTCAAAGTCGGGACACCCGACATAGCTGTTGCCCAAATTTAATTTTCATTTATAATTCTAAAAATTCTATAAAAATACTCTGTACATATGTATGTGTAGAATAATTATGCGTTTATGTGTTTGTGCGTGGCTGTGTATAACAGCCGTAACAACAACAACAACTGTGGTCACAGCTTGGTCATTCATACATATATGGGTTTAACTTCCCGTTAAATTGATCTATCATTATAAAACTTAGCATACAGACTCAATCTCTAACTGGAGCTATTTTCGAATTTCAATGAAAAATTCCAGGAATTACGGGAGTTACATTTCATGTACAGAGTATAAAAATAATGTTGCCGTATCAATTAATAATAGCCAAATATATTTTGTGTATTTAGAATGTTGACTTATTTAAATTCGTATTTTGCTTTTTTTTTTATTAATGTGAAACCTGCATGTTTTGATATTAAATTAAAAGTATTTAAATGTCCATTTTAAAAGTACAAACATGTATGTGCAATCATTACCAAAACATAAATATAAGCCATTGAAAAAATCAATAAAAATCTCGCTATACCAATTAATTGTAGTTAGGTTATACATATGAAATATATGCAAATATAACAACTGTAAGATGTGAGATGTTTGTTTTTTAACTTCGTTTTGAATTTTAAATAAAAAGTATTTTTAGGTACGGATTCTAAAAGTGATGCTTCAATTCACTTTTTAAGTACATTGGGTTTTATTTAACGTATTTATTCTTTACGCACTGAGGTAAACAAAATGTATATGGAAGATATAAAAAGACGAATAATACGGCATACCACAAATATACAACAATTTTAAATGTTGTATATATAAACAATTCTAAATTAACAATTTTTTTAAATAAGAATTAAACAAATTACAAATTATGAACTAAAAACACAGGAGAAAATAAAAGTACTCAAGAAAATGAAGATTAAATTACATTTTCGGTTGCTACTGAAAATTGATTTGCAGCAAACAGGTATTGGTTGGTATACGTATACATACGAATAATAGAAAGTGGATATTCTTGTTAGAGTGGTTTATTCTGGTTGGACTCGTTGGCGCCATCAGGCTTTGGTAAAAGCGGTGTGGAAGCTGCAGTTACTTCCCTGTCATCGTTCTCTCCATTTTGAAGATCATTGACAGCGTCCGAAGTAACAAGACTACTTAAAGAGGCGTCTTCTGTATGTTCAGGATTACCGGGTCGATCTAGGTGGGCTGGGCCACTAACGCTGTTGCTTTTGTCATCATGAGATACATCATTAATTGTGGGAGATGATGTTACACTTCTATTTGGTTTAGACAAACGTTTCGTACTAAGACTTGCTGTCAAAAATCGCGGTTTTTCATCTTCAGTAATCGAATGCAACAAACGCTCCACCTCATCATCAAATGTTTCACTAGAAAAAGTACCAGATTTGCGAGTTTTTTCTAATAATGTTGCCTTTTTAGCGGTAAGGTAAAGACTGCGCTTAATGGCGATGTATATAACGTCTGTTGTAGCACGAACAGAGTAATCCGGTACAAAAGTTTGTCTTATTTTTGAGTCCATGTTTAAAGACTGTAAGGATCCCATTTGAGTCGGCGAATCTAACAAAAATAAATACATTTAAATATCTTGTTTATTTTTTTTTTATGGCCGGTACTCCAGATCGACGAAATTACTTATAGAATGAGCAAGTTGAAAAGTTAAAGTCGGGCGCCCCGACTTTGCATGCTCTGTACTGACATACCAAGCACTAATTGGACGTGACATCCAAACGTTATTTTAAAATTCAAAAGATTACTAGAGGTATTAAAAATCATTAATAGAGGAGGTATGGGGGAAGAAGGAAAATTTTAAAATACATACAACTGTAATGAGTAAACATATAAGGCATCTGTTTGCAAAATTTGTTATCACTATCTCTTATAGTCTCCGAGATCTAGTTTGTTGTTGGGTCTGCCACGCCTCCTTCTGCCTGTTACATTTTTCTCCCTCCGCAATCCTAATACACTCTTGTACATTTCATGTACAGATAGACTATACCAAAAAAAAACTTGCACTATGTGTACGCCATAAAAGGCATATGTGTGCAATGTTCTAGTTCTTATAGTCTTTGCTATTTCGGTTTAAATAAGCTCCTCAATAACATTTTCCAGTGTCACAAGACCAACTGCTCAAACGAACAGACAGGGCTAAATCGCCTCGTTTTGTTATGCGATCAAGAATTTATATACTTTGTGAGGTCTGCAAAACTTCATTCTCCATGTTACATTTTTGTTACATTTTCACCCCACAAGCCTAATATACGCGATCAATAAATATTCTGAGCTGAAAATGAAAACTAAAACGAAAAATGCTGCACAGCTTAGTTTTTACTATCTTTCTCTTTAATCATTATTTAAGATCTGTTCTAGGTAGGACAATTATAAAATTTTTAATCATGCTTCTGTCATGATGGTTGTGGAATGATTCGAACCAAGTGCCTACTCAAGGAACGAACTAACATTGTGGGATTCTTGCCAGCTCGTTGAGCTATGCCAGGCCCCAAACACAGCTTAGTGAGAATAATACTGGCGTAAAATTATACAAGCAGTTTTTCCTGGCATTAACCGATTTGGATAAAATTTAAAACAGAGAATAGATATCATAAAAATGACGTTTGCATAATTTGGATTTATGTTAAATACTGGATATTTTTGACAAAACTATGTAGGAGCGTTTATCGAGAAAGACGTACGTACATGGTTTTTTTATACCCTGTAAAAAGGGTATATTAGGTTTGTGCAAAGTATGTAACATGCAGAAGGAAGCATCTCCGACCCCATAAAGTATATATATTCTGAATCAGCATGACGAGAGAAATCGATCTAGACATGTCCGTCCGTCTGTCCGTCTGGATGAACGCAAGGATCTCAGAAACTATAAAAGCTAGAATAACCAAAGTTGGCATCAAGATTCTCCTAGGTCCGAGAAAGGACGAGTTTATTTATTTTTTTTTTTTTTTAATTTTCCCCCCCTTCCCCCGCTACAGAATTTCGTCAATAGCGTCCACATTTCAAATGCTACCTAAACCAAACTTTGCACACATAATTTATATACAATTGTCTACTGTTGTTAAAAATTAAATTCAATTCGGTCAATTCTAAGAAAAGTTATTAGCAAAACAAATTCTCGCCAGTACAACCCTCCCAAACTGCAGCAACAAGTTCGCGCTTCTTCTTCCTCAGTGACGGAAGTTTACCTGGGTACAGGGTATTACACTGTCGGGCTTGCTCGACTGTAGCGTTCTCTCTTGTTCGCTTTTATATACGAGTATACTTTATTATTTATAAAAAATGTATTGCTGTTCAATTCGTCGGTCTGGTGGTCTGGCTTTACTATCAACTTACCAACAACTACATTTGGTACCAAAGCTTGAGTTCCAAAGTAAGTAAAAGGACCACTCTCAAAGAGAAGTCCCTCTTTGCCGATAGTCACTTCTACGCGACCCTCCAATATAAGTACAAAAAAATCGACGGCTTTGCCTTGTGTAAATATAATCAGGCTTGGGTCAACTTTACTTTTTCCCTTTGCTTTTATATTGTGAAAAACATCTTGGTTAAGTAATCGCCGCAAAATAGGTTCCGAAACGACATCTTTTTTAAAGGCATCAACCGCTGCAAATATGTAGGCGAAAAAGTGAAATTGTATATAATTTTAAATCAATTATTCTGTACCTGTGCTTAAGTACTGGAATGTAGCCAAAGTTAATTGTGGTGAAATGCGTACAGCTTGAGCCTCGCGCCGCTCAGCAAATGCAGAGAAGTCTGCTTTCTTATAACGACTACGACGAGTTTTTGTACGGTTATCCACAAATACATCAGTTTCGTCAACAATTTCGGCTTGAATAAGCTCCTCAATAACATCTTCCAGTGTCACAAGACCAACTGTTTCATAAAACGGATCACCATCGCCCTCATTGTTTACTCGGTGTACAAATGCTATGTGGCCAATCGTACCCTCCTTAAATTGATTAAACATAATGTCCAGCGTATAGTCCTCAAACACGAAATGAACAGGATTTTGGTAGAATTCACATAGTGTTTTCAATGGTGTATTGTCATCGGTGTCGACAAATGCTAAGTCTTTTATATAAAGCAAGGTGACAATATTTTTTCTATCACCGTCATACACAGGGATTCGAGAATAGCCCGAGTTCATAATTTCAGACACAGTTTCAAAGTCAAGCACAGCATCCAAGGAAAGCATAAATGCATCATCAATATGAGTCATTACATCGGCAACAGTTTTTTTTCGCAATTCTAATGCACCGGATATGATGTTTACTTCGTTTTTGTCCAAGTCATTTATGTCGTTAGTAACCTATATTATAAGAAAATACGAATTTTATATGTAGCTATACCCCTATAAATGAAAATACTTACACGAACAAGTTCTTTTAAACGTTCGCGATTGTAGACATTTCCAATTTCTTCCCCTAACAATATATCAAGAACCCGAGAGGTCGGATACGAAAGTGGTGCGGTAATGGCCATTACAGTTTTGGTAATTAATATAGTCTTTGCTCCAATTGCCAAGCCATGTCGGGAGCAAACAGCCTGTAAACATGTAACAAAAAGATGATATTAATAATACAACACTAAGTTATCGAAAAGTAAAAAATCACACTAATTTTTAATAAACACAAAAAAAGCTTAAATATATGTACCGTATGTAAAATGTTGTTGATATCATCGCTTTTATTAACAGGTGGAGAAGCTAAAGTCGGGTTTCACGACTTTGAAATATCGGTACATATGTAAAGAATAATTATAGAAATTTAAAACTTGGTATTCGAACTCATATAAAGGTATATTACTGCACACTGACACACAAATTGCTTCTATGCGAGTCTATGCATGTTTGTGTGAGTGTCTGTGGGTATCTCGTGTAGTGACTGTATAAATATATAGCTATAACATCCTGTTAAATCGGTCTTTCATAATGAAACATAGCATACTTATAATCACTAACTGGAGGTTCTTGTCAAATTTGAATTTAAAATTCCAAGAAATATGGGAGTTATGGCAAATCGCTAATTAGGGTAGAGAGAGGGGAGGGATGGAAATTTCAAAATACAGAATTTCAGCACATTCACATAAGGCATCTGGGAATATAATTTGGTGTTCCTAGGTGTCATAGTCTCCGAGATATAAGTGACTATACGAACGGAAAATCGGGAAAACCCCCATAGAGGGGAAGTGGGGGGAAAATAATAAAAAAAATAAAACAAATTTGCACAGCCTACACATACAAGGGATCATTGTGCAAAACTTGGTGTCTCTAGCTCCTTCAGTCTCTGAGATCCAGGCGTTAATACGGACGGACGGACAGAAAGACATAGATCGACTCGTCTTGTCACGTTGATAATTTGTTTACATTTTTTTTGAAGTTTTTTTTTATTTATCGAATCTTCTCTCTCGAAGACTTACTACGGTCTTACAATTAAATATTTAAATTACGGCCCTAATTGTTATTGCTGTTATTGCTTGGTTGGACGTCTCTTCGCCGGAGCCTGCCAAGTTGAATTCTGCGCAAGTCTATTTTGATGGTTCCAAAGCCTAAGCTGGTACTTTGCTTTTACCTTAGCGATTTCATCTTTAACAGATCCCAAATTTAAATCTTCCCGGATATTTTCACTCCGAATGTACCTGGGTGCCCCAGTGATGGTTCTCAGTATCATCGATTGAGATTTCTCGATTGGTGTTTCCCCATAGTTCAGAGCTATATGTCCAAATTGTTTTGAGAACTGCATGTATGCGCCAGTCTGCTAGCCATTCTTCTATGGCCACGAGGTGGGATGATAAGAGTTCTGTAGCTCTTGTTGGAGCGACTTAGAATGGCAGTATCATCAGCAAATGTCGAAATTGTTGTATGACTGTCGGTATATCTGCTGTGTATATGATATACAGTGTCGGTCCAAGTACACTCCCTTGGGGTGCACCAGTTTCAATTGGATGGTTTCGGAGAGGAAATCTTTGCACATATGTACATCTTTATATATATAAAACAGTTTGTCCTGACTGACTGATTGGTGATCAACGTACTGCCCAAACGGTAAAAGCTAGGAAGCTGAAATTTGGACTCAAGTATCCTTTCATAGTGTAGGTGCCCACTAAGAAGGGATTTTGGAAAATTTTAGCTCCAAAGGGGGGAAACGAGCTCCAAAGTTTGCTTGAATATTCTGCATTTCTGCACCGATCAACTTTAAATTTGATTTTTATAATATATAATAGAATACAAACAAAACTGCATACTCGGATTTTCGAAATTTGTGGTGGAGCTTGAACTATTGGGGTTTTAATATTTATTCACTATTTCAAATGAAAGGTTGTGTTATAAATTTTTCCGATCGATTTCAAATTTGGGGACTGTAATCTACGTAACTAAATCTACAACTTTGCGTTCAAGGATTTTCAAAATATGCATTTTACAAATGCAGGCAGAACAAGCAATACAAAATATCAAACAGTTGGGGACAACTAAGTATACATATACACACACACCCACATACAAGCAGCTGTTCGTGTAGTTGCGTGCAAACGATTGAAATAGCCAAAGCAAAATGTGAGACACTAATGTGTGAATGTACACACATACATATGTACACATCTATGTACATGTACACATCTATGTATGTATGTATGTTCATTCGTCTTGCACTGACAGAGCAAGAAATGTTATTTAATTAAAAATTATTTAACATTTTTCAAAGTAATTTTTTCTTTGTTTAGTACATTTGGGATTACGGTTTTCATTAGTAACTTTATGCAGCAACAACAAATTACGAAGAACGCAAATATCAAATAGTTGGGGACATCATCACTCACACACAGAACATCAACAGTTCGTGTCTATGTATGAAAAAGTAAAAAGAAACATGCATGCATATGTACACACATATGTATGTATGTATGCCTGTGTACGTACATATATAGCATGTATGTACATTCGTATGTATGTATACATTGTTGTTTGATTGTAATAAATAATTTTCTATGGTTTTAAATCAAATTTTTAAAACTAAAAACAACAACTACTGCAAGTCATTGGCTCGCGCTTCATCTTTCGTTTTGATCATTTACGCCTGTTAAATTCAAAGGCAAAATGTCAAAAGTTTACAGTTACCGTCGCTAGGCAACGACTGCGTAAGCGATGGTAAAGCAAAAACCGAAAGTGGACCTACGCATATTCTTCTTCACGTTGCGGGCAGATGTACATATGTATGTTTGTATATGATTTGTTTTAATTGATCTTAATAAATTATAAGATGTTATTATTTAAATTTTCTGTTAATTGCATTCAAACTTCGATGGAATTATTGATTGTATCGACGGATTCAACTATCGATAGTTTTGATGCTCTAGCACATAGAGCATCCGACACATGTCCATCTCTAGCACGCTCCAATTTTGGCGGGACGTCCCGATTTATAAATCAAAATTAAATGTCCAGCGTCGGACTTTTCGGGGATAACTCGACCGTGCGTACAACGTGCTGAGGAAGCACACAGTTAAGTTAGGACTGGCATGCGCCAGGTGCGTAACGAAGATATGTACATATGTAGGTATGTACGTATAACCATACATAGCAGTACTATATTTGCTATTTGGAAAATGAACTCTTTAAAAAACTTTAGAGAGCGTCGAAAGAAGAATATCATATAGTAAATAAACTTATAATTATAAGCACATTTTACTTAGCCCAGCAAATACGGGCAAGACCTAAAGACGTTCCGCCATAATTGGAACGTCCGGCAACGCTGATATGTATAAATTTTAATTTTTCATGCAGGCGCTATCTACCTATGTACATACATACATATGTATGCGTATGCATAGGTATGTATTCAATTTTGCAATTCAACATTCATATCTGTCTTCAATGCAAAATATGATTGTTGTGAATGTAAAAGGTGTACTTCTGCTTTTGTAAATCGCAAGAATACATTCACAAAATAATCTTAACGCAAAATGACTGTAAGATTACATTTGTAGCGTCGTTACGACGAAACCATTTCACACTAAAACTGTAAATCGCTGTAAATGTGCAATCAGCTGAGCTGCTAGAGATGGGCATGTGTCGGATGCTCTATGTGCTAGAGCATCAAAACTATCGACAGTTGAATCCACCGATACTATAAATAGTTCCATCGAAGTTTGAATGCAATAAAAAGAAGATTTATATAAAAACATTTTATAATTTATTGAGAACAATTACAACAAATTATTTGTATTAAAAACAATGGTTTATCCACTTAAACAAGTAAAAAAGCTAAAGTTGGTGTCCCGACTTTGAAATACTCTGTACATATGTTTAGAATAATTAAAGAAAATTAAAACAAGAGAGAACGCTACAGTCGAGCAAGCCCGACAGTGTAACTTTTCTTAGAATTGACCGAATTGAATACAATTTTAAACACCAGTAGACAATTATATATGAATTGTGTGTGCAAAGTTTGGTTTAGATACCAATTGAAATGTGGACGCTATTGACGAAATTCTGTAGCGGGGGAAGGGGGGGAAAATTAAAAAAAAAAAAAATAAACTCGTCCTTACTCGAACCTAGGAGAATCTGGATGCCAACTTTGGTTATTCTAGCTTTTATAGTTTTTGAGATCCTCGCGTTCATCCAGACGGACGGACGGACAGACGGACGGACATGTCTAGATCGATTTCTCTCGTCATGCTGATCAAGAATATATATACTTTATGGGGTCGGAGATGCTTCCTTCTGTATGTTACATACTTTGCACAAACCTAATATACTCTGTTTACCCTACGGGTACAGGGTATAAAAATTAAGAAAATTAAAAAAGATATTTCGTTCGATTTTACCTCTCTCGGTATTCGAACTCACTTAAAAGGTGTATAATTGCACATATACAAAGCAATTGCGTCTATGTGAGTGTACGAATGTCTATGCGCGTCTATTCGTGTATGTGTAAACATGTTTGCAGCGCTATATTTAAGGCTATAACATCTTGTTAAATCATCAGCACGCGCAAACTTACTCTACTCTTGTACATTTCATGTACAGAGTATAAAAACAAAAGAAAACGCTACAGTCGAGCAAGCCTGACAGTGAAATACCCTGAACCCAGGTTAATTTCCGTCACTGAGTTATATGCGCCCATAGCAGAAGCAAAAAGAGGAAGAAGAAGAGCGAACTTGTTGGTGCAGTTTGGGGTGTTGTACCGTAGATAATTTGTTTCGCTAATAACTTTTCTTAGAATTAACCGATTTAAATGAAATTTGAAACAAAAGTATACTATTGTGTATCAATTATGTGTGCAAATGTAGCTTTTGTAGCTTCTGTAGCGGGGGAAGGGGGGAAAATTCCAAAAAATAAAATAAGCTCGTCCTTTCTCGGACATAAGAGAATCTGGATACCAACTTGGGTTATTCTAGCTTTTATAGTTTCTGAGATCCTTGTGTTCATCCAGACAGACAGACGGACGGACATGTCTAGATCGTTTTCTCTCGTCATGCTGATTCAGAATATATATACTTTATGGGGTCGGCAATGCTTCCTTCTGCATGTTACATATTTTGCACAA